CGGGCGCGTCGGCCTTGGCCAGCTCGCGGCACGCGGCGCAGTTGCGGATGGCCGCGGCCACGGTGTCCTTGATGCGCGTCCAGTGGTACTTCTCCAGCACCGCGGCCGTGGTCTTGTTGATGCCGCCGTGGCTGGCGAGGTGGAGCTCGGAGCAGATCTGGAGCTGGCGGGCCGGGTCGCTGACCACCTCGCGGTCGCGGAGCATGAGCTTGCCGTACTGGAGGCGGTAGTGCGAGGCCAGCAGGCGGAGGCGCAGCTTCTCCTGGCGGTCGGCCATGGGCGGGTACTTGCCGGTCTCCAAGTAGTACTTGATTTTGTCGAAGCGGTACGCGCCCAAGGTGGCGTCGGCCACGGCCACGAGCTCGCGCCCGTAGATGAGCGCGTCCACCGCGGCGTCGTGGCCCTTCAAGATGCCCGCGGACTTGATGCGCCCGATGCGCTTGAAGCCGAGCAGCTCCCAGATGCTGCGCGCGGCCACGTTGGTCTCGAACACGAGGTTGAACACGCAGTACGTGTAGCCGAGGCGCGGCGCCCACTGGAGGAAGCAGTCTGCGAGCGTGCGGCCGATACCCTTGCCCCGGATGCCGGCGTTGACGAGGAACCCGGCCGTGCAGATGTGCGACGCGCGGCCCGGGTAGTTGGGCTTGACGAAGAACGTGCCCAAGCACTCCTTTTCCCAGTGCTTGGGGCCCTCGAGCGCGGGCAGGTCGCCCAACACCATCACGCCGGCAAACGCGCCGAACCAGTAGTTCTGGAACGACTCGATGTGCAACGTGTCGAAAAACAGGAACGTGTCGCCGCGCTCGATCTCGATGTTGAACTCGTCGCACAAGAACGCGAGCAACCCGGCCGGCAAGCTGTCCGCGTGCTGCACGGGGTAGATGGTGGCCGTGGTCTCGCCGTCTTTCAAGAGCACCGTGTACCGCTCGATGCTGGCCATGGGGTTGTAGTCGAGCTGCAGCCGGTAGTGCGCCGGCTGGAGCACGTCGTCGAATTCGGGCATGGCGGATGGGCTGGCGCGTGCCGAGGTTCCGGCGGATTTTGCAGCTATTGCTCGTATATCTGTAGCGGGGGTAGATTGGAGACTGGCGTAGATCGTGGGATGAGATGTTTTGCGGCACCGCGCCGCCGCATGCAGGGCCGCCGCACGTCGCTGCTGCCTGGCGAGGCTTTTGAGACGGCCGTTGCTTTTGGGCCGCGCCGCGTGCGTCTCGCGTGTCCCGTGTGGTGTCTCCGGCTTTTCCGTGCTCTCTCCCGGACCTTGGGTCGTGGTTGTTTCTGTTGTTTTCGCGGCGGCGGCCGCCACTGCCGTCTTCATTCCGGGCTCTCCTGCCTCTTTCTTGTCTTGTCTTTTGCCTGTCTTGATTTTTGTATTTTCCCTCCATACGCGTCTCTCGTTCTTCTCTCTTTTCCCTCGTTCTTCTCTCTTTCCTCGTTCTTCTCTCTTTCCTCGTTCCTCTCTCTTTCTCTCTCTCTCTCTCTCTCTCTCTCTCTCTCTCTCTCTCTCTCTCTCTCTTCTCTC